TCTCAAATGTATCGATACATGTGCATGATGTACTAATGCATTTAGCTCATAAAGGGTTTTTGATGAATATGTGTCAATACATGTTCATAATATATTAATACAATTTTTCCAAAACCAAAAGTGTCGATACATTGCCAAATGTATTGATAGATTTCACCAATTTTGAAAAATTAAAAGCAGTAAAAGGATATTTGCACATCCTATAGTATAAATATGACCCCTACCTCGAGGGTTTTTCATTTTAAGCTACCTCCTATTAGTTTTCAGCAACTTTAAGCTCTCTTAAACCCATTTTCACCCTAAATCACTATTTTGGAAGATTGGAAGTTTGGTTTTGGGTTTTTTAGACAAAGGTGACATCTTTCAACTTTTAAATCTTGATTTATGAATTTTTCATCACTAAAAATATTATTTTTACACCTAGATTTTCTGTTGAACATTAAGGCTCAAAAATTTTGGGCTCATGTAATTCAAGAATGGTATGCAAGCTACACAAGTTCTTATATGGGCATAAGCAAGCTTCCAAGCAGTGGAACTATAAGCTCATTGCTTCCTTGATTCAATATGGGTTTCGTCAATCAAAGTTTGATTACTCATTATTTACCATGACCAAGAATAATGATTATGTTGCAATTATGGTGTATGTTGATGATATTCTTATTGGCAGCTCATCCATGGAGTCGTCAATGAAGTCAAAAGTTACTTAAATGCACAATTCAAGTTGAAGGACTTAGGAAGATTGAAATATTTTCTAATACTTGAAGTTGCAAGATCAACCGAAGGAATATCTATTTGTCAAAGGAAATACACACTATACCTCTTAGAAGAGCATGGCTTGCTGAGCACAAAACCAGTGTCGACTCCTATTGACTGTAATCACGAGCTGTCGAAGGCCACAGATGAAGAACAATTAGCAGATCCCACAACTTACAGACAACTCATTGGTAAGCTGTTATATCTTACTTTTACTAGACCTAATATCTCTTATAGTGTTCAAGTTTTATCCCAATTTATGGACAAACCAAGGCATGCACTTAATGGTAGCATACAAAGTATTGAAGTATTTAAAATCTGCAACTGGACAAGGACTTTTGATGAAAGCTAATTCAAAAATAGAGATCATAGCCTATGCAAATAGTGATTGAGGGGGTTGTCCTAACACAAGGAAATCTGTCACAGGTTTCAGTATTTTTATTGGAAATTCCTTAGTTAGTTGGAAATCTAAAAAGCAGTCTATAGCGGCACATAGTTCAACAGAAGTTGAGTACCGATCGATGGCACCCACATGTTGTGAAATTGTGTGGTTAAAGTCATTGCGAACAGATTTTGGTTTTGAGCATAAAGGCGCAGTAAACCTATACTATGACAACCAGTCTACCTTCCATATTTCCAAGAATCCCATGTTTCATGAGCAGACAAAACATATATAGATTGACTACCACATTTCATTCAGGATAAGGTGCTGGAATGTATAATCGAACCGTTGCATATACATACTAATTCACAAATTGCTGACTTATTCACAAAAGCATTACAATCAAGACAATTCCATCATTTACTTGGTAAAATGCCTGTTCACAACATTCACATACATTTTAAGGGGGAGTGTTAATGATGAAGAAGCTGTGAATTACAAAGGCCTTAATTGAAGAAAGGACATGTGATATGCACATTTTACAGGCAAAATAAAAGGCACGTGACTATCATGTATAAGCTGTAAATTTGCACAGCAGTAAATACATACAGCCAAAATTATTGCTACTGATTTTTAACCTAGGATTTTTCTCTTTCCATTCCAAGGTGTTAGAAGGCCTTCTAGATGGTTCTGACAAGTCATATAATTGCAACCTTGTATTCATTCCATTGTGAGCTGAGAAATAAAGCAATATTTTTCAATCATTTCATTCTTGATCAATGTCTATTCTATTCTCCCAAAATGACAATATATGAATAGCATTTGAATTTAAATATGAATTTACGCACACTAATTATTGGACTAAGCATCATATCGGTGAATTCACCACCTGAAAGAATGTTTTCATACAATACCATTTGAGAAAGACAAAAGAGGAAAACCTGTATAATAGTATAAAACAAATTAATTATTGGACGTTTGGATTGGACCTAGATCAGAGCTGGTCCAATCCGTTCTTTTGTTTCTCCTTTTTCTCTCCCCAATAAAACAAAAAGGATTGCTTCATGGCAATCAATTTGCAATTGTGCTTAGATAGCGAAGGGATGCCTGTTATTTCACACATGTTATGCCTGCATGAAAAGGCTTAATAATTGTTGAAAGGACTCCAATAATTGAGGGAAGAGGAAAGAAACAAAACACAAGGAAGACGATTTTGTTTGGTTTGTTTCCCTGAGTTCTGTTTCCTTCTTTTTATTTTTCAGGGTCTTTCTTTTCTCCTTTTCTTTTGTTTTTTTTTTTTTTTTGTCGTTTTGGGGTCTATTTGTGTTTTGTATTGATTCTTAGGAAAGGATTTCTTTCCTCGTTGATTAATGAATCTTTATCTTTCAAAAACAAGATGATTTTAATTTAAAAAATTATATTTGGTTGATACTTTTATTATTTATAAAAAAATAGAAAAAAAATAATTTCCTTTGATTAATAAAAATTTTATTTGTAACGAAAAAAATAAGATAATAAAAACATCCACAAAAGGGTATCCTTTTTTTGTAATATCCTTTCATGCATACGCATACACGTATAATTGAATGAGTCACATGTCTGATTGAAAGTACATAAAAGATACTACCTTAGTATTCACTTTTATCTAATCACTGCTTTATTGCAAATAATGACAAGAAGAAAGGTAACCGTCTTTGTCAACCCTCAAAAACCAAATAGATGGAATTCAATTGCAAAGGAATCAAATTGAGTTCACTAATTAAGTCCATCTTTTGTAAATCATTCAACTAAAATGAACAAATTTAAATCATTTTCTTATAATTAAATACACGTCAAGAGTGAATGGATGAAGCATGCTGAAATAGCTTACTTCAGGATAGCAAGCGATCGACACTGAGTTTTAATGGGACCAGAGGTCATAGAGCTGGAGCTAACCAAACTCCAAAACTCTTAGCTTTATTATTACACGAAATAATATTTATCTCTTGGCTTTTCTCGTTTGTTAATTATTTTGAAAAATAATTGACCAAATTCAATGAAACCAAACACTGAGTTGTAGAAAGATGGAATAAGAATTATCAAAGCATGGAAATTACAAATGAACCAAAAATCAAATAACAATACAACACACAGAAACGAAAACTAAATACAAGACCACGGAATTTTCACTTGAACTTGGCTAAAGCCTAAGAAGTAAAAGGAATATTGGCAATCTTTATTCTTTAAAAGTGACAGTCACTAGATTTATTTCATGCAACTCTGATTTCGTTCTTCATTCAAATTGGGATCTGATCAATCAACAAGGATGTGATGCTAGCTTTTGCTGCTTCCCCAGCATTTGTATACGCATCTTCGTCCTTGTAAAGGAGATCAATTACCCGTGTAAGGTTGAGAATTCGATTAAGAGCTGGCTTTGGAACTACTGTTGGCTTCAAGAACTCTTGGTTTATATCCTTCCAGGCATTCTTAATTTGCTTGTCAAACTCATTGTATGCCCCTTGCTCTGATACCCCGTATTGTTTCATGTAGCACTCGACGGCTGAGACGACATGCCCTCTCTCTTGCTCAAACTATATTCACAGGGTTTACAAATAGACATTACAACAACCATAATTTTGTACAAAAATCATATAAGCTCACAATTCATAAATATATTTTTTGCCACAATTATGAGAAAGTTTTTCTCTTCACAAATAGAGCAGTCCATGAGCTGAGCTACCTGTCAAGCCTACGAATGTAACTCGATTCAGGCTGGCTCTAGATATGATTTTTCAGACTCGAATTTGGTCAGACTTGATGATATTATTATATTGATAAATATTATATTTTAAATAAGTTTTAATTTAAAATATTATTATATTAATAGATATCTACTTTTAATATTTTAAAGTTTAATGACAAATCAGACTTGAATATTTCAAGACATCAACTTGGTTTGGTTTGGCCTAACTCAGCACGTGAATACCTCTTTTAACATCAAATCATTAAACAATTAATAAGGTTTTCGATTGGTTTTTGTAAACAATTTTCCCGTAACGATTAGAGCTCTTTATCAAAGATTTTGACAATGAAAAAGAAGATTTTGCAACAAACTTACAGCTAATTATTTTTAACTCGTTTATAGACAAGCAAATAATAATACCTTGTGACTGACAATATCGTTCATCAGCCTAGAAATTATTGTTGAAGCTCTAAGAATCTTCGGGTAATTATATGCCCAAATAAAGGTCTCTTTTGTTATGGCATCTTCCATGCCAACAAAAGATGTAATTGTAAGCATATGACAACCACAGGTTACTGATGCAACAGCCATATACTCTTCCATCTTTGGCGTGTAATTTTCATCGAGCCATTTGGCCTCAGCATAGTAGGCTTGAACTTGTTGTTTCATCTATAGGAAGCCAAAAACTTACAAAAATAAGCAAACACAACTAATATAGTCATTCATTGCAGAAAAATGAAGATGACAGAGGGTTTAGTAACAACATACCGCTTCTTTGGCAAGTTGGACACGGTATGATTTCCCTTGCTTGGTCATCAATTCTTCCATTTCTTTATAAACACTTAAAAGTTCACTATAGCATACTTTCATGTAGTGTGGAAGTTGATTTATGCAGCTGATATCCCACCTGCAAGTCATTCATATCAAATGGTGACGTCTATAATTTAGTCAAATTTTGATGTAAAGGTGATTGCCTGGAAATAATTAACCTCTGAATTGCATTTGTAAAGATTTTGAGTTCTTCACGTGTGCCATATGCATCATATATATCATCCAAAATTGATGTCAGCGCGCTTACTTTGGTCAAGAACGTTCTAGCAAGGGAATAGTGGGGTTCAAAGTACACTCCCAACATCCACAAGTAACATTCGACCAATCTATCTCGTATAAAAGGAAAATTCTTTGCAACATCTAAGCCTTTCCACCACCTGAAATAAGGTAGTTAGCACAATTATAGAATAAAATCAGTAATTGGTAAATAGAGGTGGCAAATATTGGGTTCGGGTCAAATAGATTTTGGGTTCAGGACTTTTTGAGTTTGGGTTTCTTTGGATTTAAGTTATTTTAGATTTGAGTCTTCTCAGGTTCGAGTCAATTTCAAGTCGTTTTAATGTGAAATGTAAACATTTAAACATGTTTTTCAAGTTTAAAATTTTCAAATTCATATTATCTCTAATTCATTATATATTTTTTGGGACTGGTCTTCTGGTTTGTGCACGATTTGCTAGCTTTATTGCTAAAAATATGGCACGAGCAATTACCTATACACCTCTTTTATCTCGTTCTTGTGCAAATGCTGTAACAACTTGAAGTCTAACTTTGCAAATTCCAATAAAGTATCTTCTTGCGTAACATATCTTTCGTATATGGAAATGTAGCTCCTGGCAACCAACCTCGGCAAGCTCTTGCGCAGGGGCCTCTTTAGCGCATTATTAATTTGTGTCGAGAGAGGATGCTCTACCATAGTTTCTGCCGACTTTAGGTGATAGGACGTGAAAGCAAGAGCTTCTTCAAGTATACTTTCTCCATGCACTCGCAGGTGTGCAGCTTCATACAATTCTAGCAAGCCCCTCACATCACTAATTAAGGATGCCTTGAAATGCCCTTTCTCGTCTTTGAACTTGTTGAACGATTCTGCTCAATTACCAAAGGCATTTGAAAAAGAATTAGTGAAGGAAGAAACCGAGAAGCTCCTAATACATATAACAGAGGTTTTTGTTTCAGAGAAATTGATGCACTGAAGATTGATTTGGCTTTTAACGAATTAAGGCATACCGCAATGAACATTAAACCCGTGTTCTCTAAGCAATCGAAATCGAACTGCTGTACTGTGGAGATCATCATCTCTCTCAACATTGCAATCTTGATATATAGTTTCTAAGGAATCTTCAATCTCTTTCTCAAAATGGTAAGCCACACCTAAACGCTGGACTACATCAATTAGGTGCAATTTTTGGGAAGGTTTATCCGTGGGTGTGGCCAACGTTCTCCTCACTTCTTGCTTCAATTCTTCAAATCGTAGCTGAGTTGTAGCATCCATATTCTAATCATATTGTCATATTGTAGTTACAAAATCGTTAAAACTATTGTTGATAAGATTAACATCATTGTTCCAGACCGTTTAACAATAACAATCAGTCGGCTATAAATGCAAAATATCATTTTAGTTGAAAGTATTATCCTTTTCACGTGATATATTAATTCCCACTAACGTAGAGAAGCAGTCGAAATCACAAAGAAACCTAAAACGTTTGCCAACAAAATAAAGATGATATGACAAATTAAAAGTCAGTTAACATTAATCTGATCTCAAAACAGATACACACACAAGGGTGAATTCACCACCTGATAAAGCTTTTCAGACATACCACTTGGGAAGGACAAGAGAGGAAAAGCTCCCCCCAAATGTTAGGACGAAAATAGGCCAAATGCCGATTTTCGTTGTTGGACATTGTATCATGACTTGAAGCAGGAATTGAACAAACTTGGGAAGACATTTTCCTTAGGAGATGGCTGGTATTGAAATGGTATAATTCGGTTTACAGCTGTGTGTTAGCTTTTAGACACAGTTTTGTGTGATCCAAATGCTTATTAGTTGTATTTATAAGCACTCGATTGATGTGCTTTGATTTAAGTTAGACTCTATCTAGAATTGCTTTTAGATTGGATTTCTAATGTAATTTAGAGTTTATTCTCGTAAAGTTAGTCGGCTCGCTTGTCTTGGTTCATGATATTAGGTTCACACAAGTGTGAGAAAAAGTGTTCAGTGGTATATTTCACATCACTTACATTGGTCTCTTTGTCCTTGCTATCAATTGATTTTAGAGATAAGATAATTATGAGTGGTGGAGCCCTCAGTTTTTAAATTTAGTACTATATATATAATTTGACATTATATATTTTTGTCTCTTTTAATTAAATTGAACAGCTTCTTCTGAAATAGTGGTAAATTGTTCAACAAAACCATTAATTGTTTTCCCTTTTTTCCCTTCTTTTTGTCGCTGGCCTGGATTCGATCCTTCTTGAACCCAAATTTCAGAATATTTTCCCCCTTTTCTTCCCTTTTTTTTTTTTTTGTTTTTTGCGCTAGCCAAGATTCGATCCTTCCTAAGCCCAAATTCCAGAGGTTTTTTCCCTCCCCTTTTTTGTTCAACAAGTTTTATCTTTCTTAAGCCCAGCAATTTCCTGGATTTTTTTTTCTTTTTTTTCCTTCCTTTTTTCCCTATGCACTGCATGTTACAATCAAACACCCTTTTGTTTTTCCTCTATAAATCTTTGGAGGCTCATCATTCATCAAATTAGAGAAACTCTTCCTCTTATTCTCTTTTTTCGTGAATGAATCAAATAATTTTTTTCTCTACAAATCAAATAGTTAGACTAACTTTTTAACTCAAACAAAAACATTCTAGTAAAGTCTTGATAATTATTGAAGGGACTGATATAATTGTGGGAAGATAATTTATTTTTTGAGATTATAGTAGAATAATCTCAAAAAATTGTCAAAGATCTTACACAATCAATAAAATAATAAAAATAAAAAATCAAGTATACTAAGACTAACACAAGAAATTTTAAGTAGTTCAATTTTTTTAACCTACGTTCATAGGTACTATGGTAAAGAAAGATTCACTAAGAAAAAAAATTTAAATATTACAAGATCAATTTCAAACTCACAACCCTTATCTCACTTACGCCCAAACCTCTTCTCTAGATCTAGATAATCACTAACTCTCTATTGGCTTAATCATATTCTCAAACCGCATATGGCGTATTCATAAAGCCAACTGTAAGAGTCTTATTCTAGTCTAATTAGGATTCAACACCACAATTTAACTAGAATTCAATTATATCTCAAGAAAATATTCGAGACTAACCTGAATTGAAGCATCATAGTCTAACTAGAATTAAAAAATATCTCAACAAATCACCAACTTTGGCTTAACTTCACCAAGCTCCACTAATGCCTTAAAAGGCCTTAAGCACTATGAATACTAACCAAGTCCAAGAAATGCTTTTTCACCTTTAGGATTTATCAAATTTTCAACCACATAAGCATTTGGCCTTTAACAATAATTTACATAGTGACCAACTAAGACCTTCTCAAAAGTAGAATTTTACTTGTGCTAGCACGTTTTTTTTTCTAAAACAAAAAAACTAAAAGTTCTTGCCAAGTCTTATTTTCATCAGACAAAGAAAACTATATTTCTTTCCTTATTTTTATGAAAGGGCTAAGAAGTGATTGGAGGCTTAAAATTTTAGTTGACTAACATAACATATTTATATAGCCAAACTAATTTGTAACCCTAGATACAATATTTGAATTTTTATTCAATTAAGTCCTTGTGAACTTAACTAATTTTTCAACTTTATTTCGATCTATTTCATTTAAGTCTAACTTAATTGATTATCTTAATTTAATCTCAATCATGTCACTTAATGTGTGTGACCCATTAAGCTTCTAACATGTTGACAATTAATATAAATCATAATCACATATCAATTTGATAATTGATTTATATTTATAGATTATAAGCGGTATCGAGCAGCACATTATGACCACTCAAATGTTAAATAGTCAATTAAAAAATTTGATAAAGCCCTCAATGATAAGCTTCTCAGTGCAATATGGTCCTTTTATCAAATATCCTATATGTGTCATAAAACATGACTTGGTGTCTACTTATGACATTTCATATTAGTTCTCATAATTTATTACTAACCTTATGAATTTAGGTAACTTACTTTTCTCAAATTCATCATGTTTTAGCAAAAGACTTTATAGAAGTTAATCAAGAATTGAGAACTATTGAGATAGATCCCTTCATATCACTTGGGATGATGAATCTTCTCTTTACCACTCATCTACCTTCACTTGCTTCATGGCATACCCAAAAGAACCCTACTTAGGCATCTAGTCATTTCCAAACCTATAGAGGTGAAATCAAAGTATGTCATTCCCCACACATGATGACTTGATGTCTCATGTTCGAGGACTAGTTACACGACTATCACTTGAGAACATATTCCATAGATACCTAAGTGAAATGCCAAATAGAGTTCTCATAATAGGTCATGTTTGGTGAACTTGTTCTCTAACAAGCACCTACATGCCATCCTCAAGTATCCCCTATACTTCAATCTATGAGATCGATTACTTATTTTTCAAGTAAAGAGGCTTAATATTTACTAGTCTTTGAGCATTGCCAATGCTCTGTCTTGACAATACAAACACCATAAACTATTTTAGAACATGGCTTTAATGTAAAGAGATCTCATAATTGTAACAACTTTACAATTCTCTTGCAAGGCCTTTATGTTCCATGGGCTTCATCCAATTAGTACTAAAACTCCTTATTATTGCACTAGTATGAAGGAAAATCTCTATTACATAATGTTATGCGATTAAGTATACATTAAATGACAATATATCCTTTGATCAATCCAATTGATTCTAAGGCATATACCAACATTAACATCAAAATTCATTAAATCAAGAATAATTTTGTTCAATTAATCAATGTGGGTATTAACAAATGTACATTGATGGATCTTGAGAGTATACGATCATTGCTTCCTATAAAGTCGATTCTTCAAGGACTTGGTTATATAAATGCTCTCGAGTTTAAACCACACAAAAAAAAGCAAGTTATTCAGCTAAAATTTTCTTAGCACTTCATCACATAACATTAGTAGAATAGCACTATGTGCTCTCTCCTTAAGGCATTTTTGTCACCATTAGTTAGATCTAAGGGAAGATGATATCTTCCCTTTATGCCTTCAACAATCCTTGTTGCACTAGTAGTGTAATGCATCTTAACATGTCGTAGGCTAAAATTATTTCTTCCATTAAAGTTCTCAATCTCGTACTTAGTAGATTCAGTTGCCATTACAAGATTCAAATTGACTTAAGACTTTAAAGCTTCGGTATCAATTTGTTGTGATAATAGAGGAACAATTTAAAAACATTCACCCAAGATCTTACAAAATCAATAAAATAAAGAAAGAAAGAAAGACATCAAACATATTCACAAGAATACAAGAAATTTTTGTGGCTCAATCTTTTGTGACCTATTTGCTAGTTGTTGGTCCTAATGGCGTGCTAGTGATGGGGTGAATAGCACTAAAAATTTTGAGCTCAGCTCTTTTTGAATGATAAAGCTTTTAACTAATTAGAGGAAAATGAATGTAAAGCTTGTAGTAGTTGAAAGACACCAAGTAAGGTAGGGTAAACAGAAATGGACAATGCAAGACTATTTATAGTAGTTCAGTCCTCTTGACCTATATCCACTATCTTAATCTCTCAATTAAGGATTTTTAACCCAACTTCATTATACCAGTGGAATTAACTACTTCCACCAAGCTTTTATAAGGTGAGTTTTTAACACAAGCTCTAATCCCTTACAACAAGCTTTAGAGTATTTCTTACACTCTAATTTTCCAAGAAAGAGAAGAAAAAAAAGTACAACTTAGTACCTTTACAAGTCTGGATAGATTACAATCAAGGTCAAATAGTTTTTTTGGATTTCAAATGAAGAACAAGTATTTTTAATGAAAACTATTTTGCTTTTTTCTCAAAGTACTCTTTTCTCTTCAAATCTACCTTCTTTAACTATTGGAGCTTCTTTTGGTACTTAGGGAGTCAAATTTTTCTATTAGAAATAGCTTCTAGCTATTAGAAACAACTCTTATGCACTTCTAGTCGTTTTTTATCCTTTAGTGTTTAAATTCAAAAAGGCAAATAGACTTCGATTAATTGGTTATAGGCAGCTCTAACTAATGGCAACTTCTTTGCCTTACACTATCTTACTGCTATGTTCTTTACTCTAACCTATTACAAGAGGCTCTAACCAATTAAGAGTTCTCTGTCTTTAAACTTCTTTTCTTCAGTATACTTCCTTTAACTGGTTATCACAAGCTTTAATCGATTACAAACTTTTTGTTTTCACTTCTCCAAACAACAGTCTTCCTCTAATTGGTTCGCTCCTCCCTTAACTTATTGAAGCTTTACTTCCTTCAATTGTAACCAATTAAAATCACCTTTAATCAGATAGAAGATCTTTGAATTTTGAACTTTTTCATTTTTGACTCCCTTCAACTGTCAACTATATTTTCAAACTTGTTTTTGGCATTTGAAGATACTAGGACCTTGTACTCAACCGATTAACCAGACTTTTTAACTGATTATTATATTTCTATTTTGCTTCAATTTATCACACAGTCATACCTTTACTGATTAAGGTCCCTCGATAATTAGTTTCTAAGGTTCTATTTTTGTTCATTATTTGCTCTTTCCCTCTTAACTGATTAACTCTTCATTAAATTTAGCAAGCTCCTTATCTTGCCTTTAATTAACAACTTTGTTAGGGGTATTAAATTAAATCTTTCACACTAAACAACAACATTAGACATTAATGAATGAAGAATGTTTTATTGTCATCAAAAACATATAGAGTAAACATTAGCATGGTGACAGAGAAAGATTGATTAAGAAAAAAAA